AATTCTACTACTCAGCTTGACAAACATCAGAATTTCAATTGAGAAAAAAGCTACCAAACATTTGGTGCTCGAATTACTATTGGTACAATGGCATAAATGACAAAGTTTATTAAATGGGGTTCTTCTTTAGAAAATACTCACTTTAGTAGAAGTTATTGTCCCATACTGCTGACACATCTTTCTGAGATCTTCATCGGTTGTGCTTGGACTAAGGCCTCGTATGTACAAGTTGGTCTAAAGACAATTTAATGAAACGTTTCGAGATATTTATTTGAAAAAGACGATATATGCTAAGATCAAGTACCACATAGGAAAAGAGTATTAACATCTGCAGTCGATTATATTTTTTTATGACTCGAGTTTTTGGCGAGATCAGGGAGATCTTACCGAACTTAGAGGAGTTCCATCTTGTAGAGGAGTGTCATCTCTAGGTGGTGGCGCGTACGCCGTTCGTGAATCCACTGCCATTCGCATTCCCCCGCCGAACATGTTGTTGTTGCCTGCTGATGGTCGACCCGAGCTCTAAACCGACTAAATTATCCACAAAAATTAGTATCTGTTTGCTATGATGTTTAAGTTGATTCACTTCAACGATCTACAAATAAATGTTTTTAAGGGTAGGTATGCGCGTCACTTGATTAACGAAATTCGTATAATGGAAAACAACGATTCTATAGGCTATTTATATGATCTGCAAGACATATCGAAATGTACTCTTAACGGATTACAATAAAAACAAAGTCAATATAGAGTAGCTTGTAAAAATGCGAAAAAATCAATGTGATTCTGCGGATATGAAGCACATGATCAGTGCTTACAAAGAATGTAATCCATTACCATCGCAATGAGAAATGGGACGCTGTCAACACCAAGAGGCAAAAGATAGAAAAACCATATAAGCGAATAAGATAAATGCAACTCCGTACATCTAACAGCAAGCATATAACTCACATATTGCTGAAAAGGATTCCTGTTCGCTGGTGCTTGTCCGTTCTGTGCCATTGTGTTGTAGCTATTGTTTCCGTACTGTTGTTGCGGATTTTGACCTGGGGACATCGCTCGAGTCGCCAAGCCTTCGCAACCCCAACTAAAAATTTAACGTGACGTTGCTTAAGAATAGAACCAAGCACAAGCAAGTTTCTGAGATGGAATTAAATGATGCGTAATCTCAGTGTGGAGAGCTGTAGAGAATGAACTGTCATATATAGGATACTGAGGAAAGGAAAAGAAGTGCAGGTCCCAGGACGTTACGAAAGTAGGCTGATGAAAGCGTAGATTATCTTTAATAAAATCCATTTAATCTCCTAACTCGGTTTACCTACCCGGAAGTCAAGGATGTGGCTCCAAAAGTATCAGCACTGGCAGCATTTATGACCTTCGAATTCTCGAAGTAAATATGCACACGCAGCACTCCACTTTAACATAGCAACTATCCATGGGTACTTAGCAACAAAACTTGGAGATAAGGATGACCCTAAGTCGCCACGGAGCATTATCGGAGTATGGCACTTGGCCAAGTGCAATGCAAATCGGCGAAACAAGCCACAAACAACGGGTCAGTAGGTTGTCGGTGTTGAGGCGCGTGATCCAAGGAGCGCAGAGAAAGAGAGCAATCGACAAGAGAGGCACCGGAACACACGGCGAATAAGGAAAAAACAACGGCGAAGGCCTATCTCACCTGAGAGGAGGAGGATCTGGTGGAGCTGAGGAGGGAAGATGTACCGGCAGCAACCTTTTACGATGAACTTCAAGAATCGAGCTCTGCAAGATCACGTATTCAGAAGCGTTTGGGTTTTGAATACGGAATATAAGAGAAGCCACTTGTTATAAGCAAAGCCAATAAGATTAGATCTGAGCACATTTCAAAAAACGATGTACAGGTATCTATCATTTTGCTAATGAAGAATAGAGGGATTTTCCGACAGGTTAACAGATTGGTTGAGATAAAACAGCAAGCGACAGAGGTGAGATGCTTGATGATTTGAATCTGCAGTAAAGGTCTAAATCAACGTTTCGATTGTGTTAACTGATAAGAAAGTGTACATACAATTTGAGAAATCTTATGGTTTATATATTTCACAAGCCACCTTGTGAAAGATCTGAGCAGTAAAGATAAAGGACACCTATGCAGTATATTAAAATGAAATAAAATACTACAAATGCAACATAACACTACGATCAACAAAGCTACAAATGTCAATGTCCTTTCAAAAAAAA